GGGCTCTCGAGCCCGAAACTCGTCGTTCCAATTCCTTGGAGGGCGGGCCGCCACGTGCTCGTAATGGCCCATTACGGCGCGTCACCCGTGACAATCCGCGTTACGGACCCTGGTCGTGTCCCTGAAACCNGGACCCAATACCCGAACCAGCCGACGAGATTCGGCAAGCTGTTGCTTAGATTGCCGTCCCTGAGGACGGTCTCATCCCAGGTGATCGAGCAGCTGTTCTTCGTACGACTGGTCGGGAAAACGCCGATCGAGACGTTGATCAGGGACATGTTGCTCAGCGGCAGCAGTTTCAACTGGCCCTACATGTCCACGATGTGACACACTGTCTGGCGACACTTGGCTTCCGCGTAATGATCAACCAACCGCCATCAACCAATTACCCCTCCCCCCTCCCCGAACAACGACCTCCTTCGAACGACGCCACCGAGCCGATCGCCGATCGTGAAAACAGGGCGACGACGCGCGAAGGACGAGGGAAGATGGTCGCCGCCAGAGGAGAGGACGAGCGACGAGGAAAGGAAGGAAGTTCAGGACAGGTTCGCGTGAAAACGGGAGGAGAAGACGTCGTCGCGCGTTTCGATCGCTTTCCTCGATCGCGATTAACGACAATAAGTGGAGGAGGAGGAAGGGGATAGAAGAAAGGGGCGCGAAGGAATCGTGAATTTGATGGTCGATGGGGGAGGGGAGGGGATCGGCGAGAAAAAGACACGCTTAGTTAGTTTTTCTTCGCCTTCCTCCCCGTTGCCACCCTTTCGTTGCGACGGGCAAGCTTAACTTAGTGATGAGCGAGCTTATTTCCCCTCCCACGATCGGAAAAAAAGCGACGTATGGACGAGGAGATCTGTCTCGTTATTATTTAATCCCTCTCCTCCCCCCCCCCACTCGATTGGTAATCGATTACGTAAGCAACGATTACGATTATTAAGATTCGATTCGAGGACGCTCGAATAAACGACGCGCGCGACCAGCCTGTAACTGGACGAACGCCTATATTTTTTTCTGAACGCGGATATATGTTCGATCGAGGGCTGGTCGCGTGTCGCGAATTCGAACATATATATATATATATATATAAAATGTTATACGAGTTGGCAACGCGGTGGAAACGAACAGCGACGATCCTCCGGAATACTCGGGGGGAGGGGACGCAATGTGATAATAAGCGTACGTGGAGATTCCCGAAACACGGTGCTTTCTTACTTTATAAATAAATGAATGAATAAATGAATGAATAAATAAATAAGTAAGTAAGTAAGTAAGTAAGTAAGTAAATAAATAAATAAATAAATAAATAAATAAATAAATACTGTACGATAAAATGCCGGGGCTCGACGCGTTGTACAGGGTTGGCCGTAGTAGTGAAGGCCGGCGAACGAAGAGAGAAGAGATAAAGGAAGGCGGGGGAAATGATCGAAGACTGCGCCCACGACACGCGTACGTGGCAACGTCGAACTAGTTACTTACAATTAGACAACCATTTAGGGGTATATGGGAATATTTCTAATATTTTTAAGCAGCGATCGATTTTCTTAAAAAAAAAAAAAATTTGCGACGCGCGCGCGCAAACACACACGCAGAACACACGAATATACACATACAAACACACATATAACATATATACACACATACACAATATATATATATATATACGCAAGGAGCGAAGGAGCAACGCGTCTCGATGAAA